GGGTGGGGTAGGGAGTAATGCGTATTTTTCCCGACCTACTCTACCTGCACTCTACTAACAAAGGCCAACTACTGGGAGTCGAACAAAGGACGGCCGGCCGAGACTATTTAGTACGAAGGTCAGTGGAAAAGTAAACTTAATCTTCTATAAGCTTAACCTATTTCCGATTTTTCTTGTTGATAAAGTAAAAAAAAAAACAGAAAAATTGTCATTTGTAAGATCATGAAGATTTTTTTTACTATCACAGCGGCCGGTGTCACGCAATGCGAATTCAGCATCAATATGCAAATTTAAGTTGGATCCTTCAATTCTGAATCGCGTTGTGCCACAAGTTTTATTTCATAACTTGACAAAATAGCTCTTAATCTTTAACTAAAACATGTTTTTAGGTCTAGTTTAGGTGCCACTTTTGAGAATTTTGTGATGTTTTTGAGGCATTTATTCCTGCATTTTGCTTTCTTAATTGGGTTATTGAAATAGAGACGACCAGTTTTTGCTGATTAGAGAAAGATAATGCCTAAATGGTATTGGAACAGTAAGAAGAAGTAATATGCTTCCAAATGAGTGCGAACAGGCTAGGATTTGATGACCCAAAGTACTTTTAAACGATCGTTAAAAAAACCTGTAAAACGGCACTTAAAATTTGCATATTTTAGCCGGTAACGGTCGTCCAGCAATGAAATACTGGGAATGGCAGTAAAATAAACAATTTCCTCATTCTAACTGCAGTTTCGTTATTAGGATGGATAGTAGTGTTGATGATAAAAATATAAGGCAAAAGTTTTTTCGAGTCCAAAATCGAGTGGAACGCTTTTAGGGAGACTGCCTCTTAATGCGTAAATAGAATATTAAGCTGTTGCCGTTGTTCCAGATAGCTCATACTTGAATGTCATTTTTGTGGTGCCATCCTTAGTGTCCGTTTTCTGTTTTGTTAAGTTGAAATATAAGAAGGGAAATATGGTGCTAAAATTAGATTTATTGAGTCATGAAAAAGAAAGGCCAAAAACTACTGACGATAAAACTGGTGACAAATATCACATTAACTTAACATTCGTATTGTCAACAATTACCAACTGGATCTGAGAAACAGTGAATTTGGGGAGTTAATTGTATTCACAGAAAAGATTGTCAATAAAACAATATGGTGATGATCTGCCCAATATCACAAATTCTATTGACATGATTTATATACAGATGCCATTACAAACAGCATTTTGAACGATGTTAACACCAATACGCTACAGGGGCGGATCTAGGGGGAGGGTGCAGGGGGTGCGCCCCCCCCCCCCCGGGATGACCTGTGGTTTTCTAATACAACTGGTATTCTGCAAAAAAAAAGACTATGTGGTTTATTGGAGTTGAAGTAGAGCAAGAGACGAGTGCACCCCCTCCTAAAAAAAATCCTGGATCCGCCCCTGCGCTAGCTGTCAGTTCCAACTGACAATTTGACAAGAAGTTTTCCATTCACATTTGAACCCAGAAGACTATTTTTAATGGAGTTTCGCAGCTTAATATTTCACAAATGAGATTTTACATCACAGATTCACTGGGGCGACCAATTGGACTAAATAAGATAGATTGGTTTATGACCCTAATATTGCGATCCAAACTAGAATAATAATCTAACCAAATAATATACAATGAGAAAATCAGAATTCAAGAAACTTTATGATGTCAAAATGGGGAGATATGTTAAGAAGCATATTTATGGGGAAGGTGTTACTAATGTTTTCAAAACGATTGACAGAAAGTTGTTTGGAAAGACGGTAAAAGAAGCTGCTAAATCAGCAACCAAAAAAGCTGTTCAGACTGCTGCTACTAAAACTGGTGAATACGCGGGCGATAAAATTATTCAGTTATTAAGCAAAAAGAATAAAAACACAAAAACACCAGTAGCGGCTTCTCCGATACAAAATCCACAAACAAGAGAGCTGAGCGATTACGAGATTAATGAGAGGGTAAATCACTTATTATCTGGGGGCCGGACGAGAAATTATGTAATCTATTAATATATGAAATCTTTTAGAGATCCAAAATATGTTGAACGATATGAAGATGTAATTTTTGACCTAAAAAAAGCACTAAATACAACTGTTGCCAATAATGCTAATCAGAAAAGAGATGGTTACAGGTTTGTTGTTGATAACAGCGGAGAGGTTACACCATTCAACTGGTACAATGCTCGAATCAGTCCCGATTTAAAAGTAAACTTGCTGGCTAATGGAGGTAATATTGCAGTAGCAGATCATAACGGAATTGTGAATGGGTCTTACTCATTCTTGAAACGTTTTCATATTAAGCTAAATGGTAAGAAAGTGTATGATTGTAATGATGCAAATCACGCGGTTAATATTAAGAACTAACTTGAGTACAGCCCATCTTATGCCTAAAAAACAGGAAGTAATGAGTTTCTCTATCTCGATACATCAAGAAATGCAGAAGAGCGGGAATTTGAAGTTAGTGGTACAAATCAGTTAGCCAAAAGAGGGGCAGCTTACAATAAAGGTCGGTACACACTAGGCGACAAGCTGCAGCAACGCGTCGCGGCGACATATCACTCCATGTGTACAGGTCGGGCAACTAGTTGCAGCAACAAGGTGAGCCGACACGTCGCAGCGACAAATGGCTTCGTGTGTACTGGAGAATTTTTGTGAATATCTTTACCTCCGCAACAAAATTTTGTCGCTGCAACAAGTCGCAAAAAATCAAATCAGACTGAATCTGTGCGACTTATTGCGGCGACAAAATTCTGTTGCAGCGACAAAGATTTTCACAAACTTCTCGAGTACACACGAAGCGATTTGTCGCTGCAACGTGTCGCCGCGACATGTTGCTGCAACTTGTCGCCTAGTGTATACCGACCTTAAGGGTTTTGCCCTTCGGTAAGCACTGCTGGGTACCTCATCCACAGTAAACACTGAAATACCTCTGAATCGATACTCAATCTTTGAAATGTTAGAAGATGAGCTGTTACCCAATACAAGGGTTGAGATGAATTTTGAAATTGAGTAGGATGATAATCTAATTTGGCAGGCCAGGGCTAATTACAGAGTGGTTATCACCAGGATGCAATTATATGTTCCGCGAATAGCCTTTAACAGTGAAGGCCAATCATCCTACATGAGCCAGTATCTTAAAAATCATAAGTGGACTTACTTGAGAGAGAATATTGAAAGATCAAATAGCAGCCGCCAGAGAGCTGGACATTTCAGAGTTTCAACACATATTTCGAAACCCAGACACGTTTTTGTGTTTATAATTAATGATGCAAATATTGATTCCCAGACGGCTAACCCATTCTTGTATAATACATTCTCTGTCTCAACCGACCCAAGGACCTTATCCAATTGTCATCTGGAAGTCGGAAATGGAAACGAATACCCCGAGATACATTACACACCAACTACTGATATGAAGCGTGTTTACAGGGATGTCTTGAAATATACATACAAAAGTAATGAATATGGCAAGGGATCATTACTCAATAAATCTAATTTTACCACTATATTTCCCTTCTTATATTTCGACTTAACAAAACAGAAAGTGGACATTAAGGATGGCACCACAAAACTGACATTCAAGTATGAGCTATCTGGAACCACGGCAACAGCTTATTCTATTTACGCATTAACTCTCTACGAGCAGGATGTTGAACTAATCCAGAAGGGTGGTAAAATAATACTCAGATCGTAAATTATGTATCGTATATTATATACAAGTAATGACAAAATATTATTCTTATAGAGTGTCACTCAGCAAAGGACAATTCACCTTCTGAGCGTCAGATTTCACGTGTAGTTTCACGTGACTTTTGATGACCTTTGTTGTAAACAAACCCGCAAAGTTCGGACATCTGTTCTCTCTCACGTACTGTACATGTACGAACTACGAGTCGCTACTTCAAGTTCGCGTTAACTTATATATTTTCCTTCCCTTTCGCTGTTTGAAAATCGAATAGTTTAAGGTTCAAAATGTCAAAGCAGAAGATCTGGAGTGACTTTAACGGCGTCGAGTGTGGTAAAACAGAAAAATATTCGCCGGTACATGGAGTTTCAACAAGCGCGTAGAAATCTCCTCTTCAGTTGAAAGAATGGTTTTGCATGGTGGATCTAAACTTGAAGAAAATGAAACTAATGATGCAGACACATTTATAATTCATTATATGGCAGTGTGCCTACATTTTCATCTGGACCGCCTTTTATACGCTTAAATGTTAGCAAGCTTATGCTTATCTTGGCTGAAGTATAGTACACTGCCTCCTTTTGTCTCTAAGGCGATTAATTCAGTACGAACCCAGTGTATGTTCACAAAAGCCTGCACTTTTATGCTACAGACATCGTGATTCAACCTCAGTAAGTAAATGCCATCAATTCAACTTAACCGTCATCAAAAGTGTCGAGTCCTTGTTTGCCGTAATAAACAAAAAAAAGAAAATGTCAACAAATAGCCAAACGGTCTTTGGAGCGAAAATGGATTGGAAATTAATAGCGTGTGATCGCGTGTGATCATGAATTTTGAAATGTGAATTATGTATGTATCATGAAATTTGCCTAAATCACCGGTTTTATCTCTTTCGAGGTTTAGTTCCAATTGAAAACCACTTCAGCTGCTGAGACGGGAATTTCCACTGCAAGCACTCTTCGTTGCTGCCGTAACTTCTGCCATGTTTTTGGCCTTAAAATCGCTCTTATTCTTCTGCTCAGATATTTTTGAACCTTAAACTTTTCGAGTCTCAAACAGCGAAAGATAAATAACATTTATAAACTAACGCAAAATTTGAAATAGCGAGTGTAGTTCGTACAAGTAGAGTAAGTGGCAGAGAACGAATGTCCGAACTTTGCGGGTTTGTTTACAACAAAGGTCATCAAAAGTCACGTGAAACTACACGTGAAATCTGACGCTCAGAAGGTGAATTGGAAAAGCTTTCGCGAGCTTATAATAATAATTCAGCAATAACAATCCGACTCGCCAGAAATGAATTATCCAGTCCACACGAGTTAATGCTCACAAAAACTCAGATCAATAAATTGAGAAAAGCAATGAGCCAGGGTACAGGGTCAGATAGCAAAATGTCAAAAACACAAATCAGAAAAGCTATTAAACACAATGCTAGTTTGTGGGGATCATTGATCAGTTTAGGAAGCAGGTTGTTACCCATGGCCATGCCATTAGCCAAAAAAGCTATGACACCACTTGCAACAGGTGCGTTATCAGGTTTAGCCAGTCTCGGTGTGGATAAAATATTCGGGAAAGGTCAACGAGGAGGTTTTCTTATTCCGCAGGATAAAATAGCGCAATTGATTGCGTACAAACATTTACTATCCGCAGGTCAGAAAAAGGATATCCTCAACGCTCTCCAATCAGGTAGTGGATTGGTTATCAAACCGACAAAAACACAGCAGGGCGGGTTTTTAGGAACTCTACTAGCAAGTATAGAAGTCCCCCTGTTACTAAACGCCTTGACGGCGGGAAAGGGTCTCCAAGCTGACAGTACCGGTTCCGCTAATACAACAGCTTTTTACGTTCCCGATACAACCAATGGCCATGGAATGATTAATCCGTATCCTTACATGTCACCACCCTTTTTTGGAACATAGAACAACAGGGATTGCTGCTCGGCAAGAACAGTCCATTCAATTCAATCCCAATTCTAGGAACAATTCTATAAAATTCATTAACAAACCGTTATCAAATATTGATTTTACAATGGGTCAAACAATTGGGAATAAAATACTTCAGGGGTATTTACAGCCGCGACAATTTATCCCAAAAAATACACAGATTGGAAACAGGAATAATTAACCTTGACGATTTGACAGGGGGATGGAGTCATTGGACTTGTTATAGAAATGTGGATTAGCAATATTGTGAATATTTTGACCCGTTCGGATTGATCATGCCTAATGAGATTAAAAATTATCTGAAAACAAGTGATAAAAAAATTGTGTTTTCTTCAGATGAAATACAAGAGAGAGACAGTGTTTTGTGCGGTTATTGGTGCTTGTATTATCTTCTGGAGGGACAGAAAGGGAAGCCATTATTAGATGTTATACACAACCCCAAATTCAGTTTCACAGATCAAAATGATAAATCACCAATCTCTGATAAACTATTTCGAATTAATGTAATCCTATTATATAGAATGTCAGAAAAGTTCGGTGTATGTTGCCAAGAAGTTACTCCGCATTATGTACATGAATATGCACGTTTTGAGTGCTGCAACTGTGAGCCCTTGAGTGAGAGCGATTATGATTCAGATAGCAGTCACGATACTTATGTTCCAGACAGTAGTGATAGTGATTAGACAATAATTATATAACACTATTGTATATAAATGGTAAAATCTCATTGTGTTAAACAAAAGAAACAAACAGAATGTGTACAACCTTCTGGTTATAAAACTACCAAAAATGGGAGACTAATGTTTTGGTGCACTTGCGCTGAATGCGTAATTAAAAAGTTCAGATTTGTAAAGAAGGGAAACTAATCGGGCCCTCTCAAGCAGGGGGCGATTTATTTGACACCGCTGTAGGAACCGCTACTGATCTATTTGTCCATCACGGGCTTCCTTGGATGGGTAAAAAAGCAGTTGAGATGGGAAGATATTACGGGTCAGAAGCTCTAAGAAACCCTAAATTACAGAAAAAAGCCATCCATTACGCTTTGGACAAATTGAGTCCGATGATTCAGAATGTTGGATCTCAAGCTCTTGACCAATTATCAACCAAAATACGCCCAAACAGAAAAGATCTTGAGGGAGGTGCTTTAGACATCCACAAGGCCATTGGTAAATTACCAAAACCCCCAGGAGGATTCACTTTACCAGGCCATAAATACACGGGCCTTATAATGATTTAGAAAATCAAGTAAAATACAATCCAAAAACTGGTGAAATATTAGAAATTTATGATCAACCAACTGGGGCGACAGATGCGGTTAGCATGCAACATGATGTCGATTATAGTGTTTGCGGTGATAACCGAAAGAGCAAAAATAAAGCTGACCGTAAAATGGTAAAATCGTTAGACGCCATTCCCTATAATGAAAGACAATGGGGCCACTGGTTAGCTAGAAATCTAATAAACACAAAACAGAAACTCGGATTCGGTTTAAACTAGAAAAGCCGTCGGGTATCAGTTGGCAACAACAATTAACGCACAAATTACACAAACCCATAAAGCGCAACTTTACTCGGCGGCGCGTTATTACAACCGAAACAACCGGTATTGACAAAATTTGGTGCTCAAATCTGGTTGAAATGCAACAGTTCAGCAAATAATAATAATAATAATAATAATAACACTTATATAGCGCTTATCCGCATGCGTTCTAATGGAAATGGAACAAGGGTTACAGATACCTTCTAATGCTGTTAGATCTGTTCTGCAAATATGGCTGAATTGTCCCGGCATTGAAGGATAAAAAAGGGGAAACTGTCACGGAAGCATTCAAAACCATCTTCAAGGAGGGCCGTAAACCACAATATCTTTGGACTGATAAAGGGAAACAATATTATAACAAAAAAATGAGAGAACTGTTGGAAACGAATGATATAACACTATATTCAACCGAAAATAAGGAAAAATTTAGTGTTTGTGAAAGATGGAACCGTACAATTAAAACCAAAATGTTGAAGCAGTTTACTGTCCAGGGTAATACCCAAAATCTTGACATACTACCAAAAATACTGGAGCAGTATAATAAAACCAAACACAGTTCCATTAAAATGACTCCTGTAGAAGCCAGTAAAAAAGAAGAATGAAAATACCGTGTATTTCAATCTATATGGTGATATGGAGTAATTATCATCTAAACCCAAATTCAAGGTCGCTGATAAAGTTAGGATAAGCAAGTACAAGAGAAAGGTGTTTGATAAAGGGTACACACCTAACTGGACTGAAGAGATATTCCTGATCGATAAAGTCCAATCCACAAACCCAATTACCTATAGATTAAAGGATCTCAATAATGAGGAAATACAAGGCAGCTTTTATGAACCAGAATTACTATCGGCAAAACAAGATATATTTCGCATTGAAAAAGTCATTTGGAGGGATTATAAGAAGAAACAAGCTCTGGGGAAATGGTTGAGTCATAGTGACGACTTTAATTCCTGGATTCCATTGAGCAGCTTGCAAGAATTATCTAATTAATAGTATATGGACGATCATATAAGAAAGCTTGATACTAAAATCTGCAGTAAGGAAACCAAGCTCAATGCACTTTACACTAAAATCCAAAAATTGGAAGAAGAGCTTGCCTCATTACACCACAAGAAATTAATCTCCAAAAAACTGGAAACAGCTGAGATGTCATTAACGAGCGTCCTAAATGCGATCTTTGAAACGGAGGAAGAAGAGGAGAATGAGTAAACTAGCAGCTTACCCAAAATGGGGAAGGTGGGTCCAAAGTGTTGGCGTCCCATTTTGTGACAGCAACAAATAAAATAAGACAGCTTTGTTGGGGTCGTGAAACGCGACCTCAGCTCCAAGGTGCTGAAACGGCACCTCAGGCCCAACCGTATTTCTTAATCTATCATATTTACCATTTCATTTGGTCTGTGTGATAGAAAATTATGTAACCTATTATTATAATGGTATTTATGTTAGAAAAGAGGTATGCTAATGTTGATTTAGAAATTGAGCTGACATCATTTATTGATAGTAAGCAAAATGTTTGGTTCCGAGGAAAGATATTGCTGAGATCCTTGGATATAGTAAACCAAGAAATGCTATTGAGCGGCATGTGTCTAAGAACCATAAAATGATCCAATTGTGTTGGGGCCCTGAAACGGGGTGTCAACAAAATGACACTAGAGGAAAATATTACACATTCATCAACGAGGCCGGCTGTTACAAACTTGTATTTAGTTCAAAATTAGAAGCTGCTAAAACATTCCGCGATTGGGTATTTTCCAAAGTCCTCCCATCTATCCGTAAATATGGCCAATACAAACTATTTGATATATTTGCGTGTGCCAACTTCTTTATTAACTGCCTGCGATACAAAAGTAGCCTTGGACTCTGGACTGTCTCTTGGAGCGTGAAAACAAAAGCTGACCACTCTTAATAGGAAGAAACAGTCAGTAAAAGGAAGAAACCTTCTAATTGAAATTTCATTAACAAAGTGTTCAAATGTGGGCTCCTGATCAGTGGAAGGTAAATAAAGGGAACATAGTAATTCGCCGTTCACAGTCCAGTACTATCGCCCCATGTTAGGGAATCCCAGTGGAACTTGGATTCTAGATTTCATTCCTTAGTAGGGTACTTGAGCTCTATTCTGGATTCCAAAGCCCTGAATTCCGGATTCCATATCAAAATTTTCCCGGATTCCGGAGCAAAAATTTTCCACATTCCGGAATCCGGATACCGTTACATGGGGCGAATTTTCTGACTTGTTCACGCATATTTAATTAAGCAGTGGGAAAGTTACTTTTCTTCGAACGTTCGATTTTATAATTTGCTGGATCGGAGTAACTTCTGGTCAATGCAGTTTTTTCAGACTGGACCACATTTTAAGCTAGAAGAGGTTTGGTTCTGAAAAGGTATTTTTCCGTCTTGACATAACAGACTTAACACGAATGTTCGCGGCAGTGGCAAATTAAATGAAGCTTGGAAAGGTATCTTTTACTTGCTGAACTAATTTTTGCACAATATATATCACTGGCAAAGGAAAAAAAGGGAATTTTAATATAGTTTTGGTGGGACAGTGAGGCATATCTTACTTAAAAGTGGCAAGAATTTGAATAACTGAGGATTTTGCTGTGTACAGCAACCGGTATCGTCACGCAACGCAAATTGAACATTTGCCTAAGTTTGAGTTGAAACCTTCAATTCTGAATCGCGTTGTGCCACAAGTTTTATTGCATAACTTGCCAAAATAGCTATTAATCTTTATCTAAAACATGTTTTTAGGTCTAGTTTAGGTGCCGCTTTTGAGAATTTTCTGATGATTTTGAGGCATTTTTTCGTACCGTTTACTTTCTTAATTGGATTAGCGAAATAAAGACGACCAGTTTTTGCTGATTACAGAGAGATAATGCCTAAACGGTATTGGAACAGTACGAAGAAGTAATATGCTTCCAAATGAGTGCCAATAGTCTAGGATTTGATGACCCGAAGAACTTTAGAACTATCGTTAAAAAGCCTGTATAACAGAAACTAAAATTTGCATATTTTAGCCGCTAACGGCCGTCCAGCAATGAAATGCTGGGAATGGCAGTAAAATAAACAATTTCCTCATTCTAAGTGCAATTTCGTTATTAGGATGGATAGTAGCGTTGATGGTAAAATTATAAGGCAAAAGTTTTTTCGAGTCCAAAATCGAGTGGAACGCTTTTAGGGAGACTGCCTCTTAACTCTCTACGGGCAGGATGTTGAACTAATCCAGAAGGATGGTAAAATAATACTCAGATCGTAAATTATGTAACGTATATTATATACAAGCGTATATTATGTGCAAGCGTATATTATATACAAGCGTATATTATATGCATGCGCATGGCCTTCAAGCGAGTAGGTCGCGCTGTTTTTGAACTCTAGTTCGGTGTAAATTTCCATTACTAAAACCTAAAGTAAAGCGGAAGAAAACGATCGATAAACTTAGAAAAGAAAACGAAAAGTTGAGAACCGATTTACAAGCGACCAAAAAGGAAGTTGAGAAGCTTTCGAAGCTTGTAACTTGCAAATCGCAAGATGGCGCCTCATCGTGTCCTCTTTCACCTGGGCAAAGTAAATCTGTTGACTTTATAAGTAGTCAGTACGATGGAATCATGGAACAGCTACAGTCAATTAAGGCCAAATTGAATGGTTTAGACCACAAATGCAATGAATTACGCCTTGCTATTGATGAAATGCAGGCTTACAGCTATCAGTATAACATCAAAATCTTTGGCTTGCCTACTTTCGCGGAGCGAGAGAGCTCAGAGTCGACGGCTAAACTATGTATACAGTTGTTTCACTCAATGGGTGTGAAAGATGTTTCCATGCCCACCGCGTTCCTGCTCGTAAAGCTTCAAGTCGTCCGAACCCAATAATTAGCAAGTTTCTTAGGAGAGAAGTCAAAGAAAGAGTGAATGCAGCACGGAAAGAAGTTTCCAAAGTCACCCCGAGTAAGTTGGGTTACGGCTTTGAAGTGTCATTGTCACGGCTTGGTATTTACAATCACTTATCTCCGCTTAACCAAGCACTGTTAACCGAGGCAAAAAAGGTTCAACAAGCCAAGGGCTTTAAATTCTGCTGGGCAAAGCAAGGTTCAATATTCCTTAGGATGACAGATACCTCGCGCATTCATAAACTGAACACTTTTCAAGATCTTCAGTCTTTACAAACTGGTGAGGGATAGACTAGAACAACCTAAACAGCTAAGTATCTTAGCTCTTACAATAGTTGTTTGTTCCTATGTTAATTATATTTTTGCCTTGATGTTCGTGTGACAAAAACAAAAAGAAATAAGAAACATAAAAAGGTCCTGAGAGACCTTCTGAAAGAACTGCCTTACTTTCATTGTAAAGGAAACTTAGCGGACTTTCATGGTCGTTATAATAACTTACTCCAAAGCAATACACGTTCGAAAAGATATCTTGATAAGTTAACTATCTTATATGAATTAGATTTATTTAAGCTAAATACCTTATGTAACAGTGACGTAAATACAATTGACAATTTATATAATCAGCGCATTCATAGCCGCTATTTTCGCCACATAGCTTCAAGGAGCAAAACAAAAAAGTGATTGAGAATGATGACGACTCCTTTTCGATATTTCATAATAATCTGATTAGTCTCAGTAAGAACTTTGAAAACCTTCAAAATTCTATTTTAGACGAACTGGGTTTTAACTTCAATATCATAGGAATAACAGAAACTAAAGTTAATTATTCTAACTCGGAGAGCGCCGAATTCCCCTTTCCTGGTTATGAATTTGAATTTGTCCCAACGCCTCTCGCTTTCGGTGCCGTTGGGATGTTTATTGATGAGACACTTCATTACACCATCTTAGAAAAAAACCCTAATGAAGCCTTCCAAGCCCTTTGGATCGAATTAAGTTTTGCATCCAAAAAGAATATAATTTGTGGCATTATCTACAGACAACATTATTCTCCCGCACGTTTCTTACAGTATTTTGAAAAAACTTTAGAAAAATTTATCTCTTCTGAGAAAAATGTTTGCGTCATGGGTGACTTCAATCTTTTTTTTTTTTAAAGTGAGGTATCGGAATGTAGTTACAACTTGCTATTATCTCTTCAGAGCTGTTATCTCATTCCCATCATTGACAAACCATCGCGAGTTCGCAGCAACTCGTCTTCTCTAATTGATAATATATTTGTAAATAATCCTGATTGTGTATCAGTGAGTGCAAACATAATTCCTGATGTAAGTGACCATTTCTCGCAGTTTTGTATATTCAGATTAGCAAGAGATAGAATTAAACCCGTTAAGAGAAAAATGCGCGACTTCTCAAATTTCGATAGGGATTCTTTTACACAGGATCTTAATCAAATCGATTGGCAGTCGATTATAGCAAATGTCTGTTGGAGAAAAATTAGCGAGTAAGATACCTGCTTCTGGTGATCATCGCGACTTTCTCAAAAAAACGAAATCTCCAGCGAGTTCTTTCATGTTTAGGCCTGTAACTGCCAGGGAAGTTGAATGAGTAATATTGGCTTTACCCAACAACAAATCTCATGGTTTATACTCCTGCCCGACTAAACTCTTGAAATATTCAAGTACTATTATCACAACAATTTAGCTAAAATCGTCAATTTGTCGGTCACATCTGGGAGCTACCCTTCAAAACTTAAAAAGGCTAAAGTCATACCTGTGTTTAAAACTGAGGATGAGACAGATGCAAATAACTATAGACCGATTTCTCTCTTACCTACATTTGACAGAATCTTTGAAACAGTTATGTATAAAAGAATGATGCATTTCATTAATGTTAAGAATATTTTGTTTTCAGCTCAGTATGGGTTTAGAGAAGGGTTTTCTACTGAACATGCCATTGTAGATATAGTTAGTGCAATTCAGTCTAATATGGATAAACGTTTATTTACCTGTGGAATTTTTATTGACTTAAAGAAAGCCTTCGATACAGTTAACCATCAAATTCTTGTAAATAAGTTAATTAAGCAATAGAAAACGTTATTCGTGTTTGCATAGCCGGAAATAAACACGAGGGGGGTTGGGAGAATTCGAGACAGTTATGCAAACCCGAGACGAACGCCTCGAGTGTTTATATCAGGCTATGAAAACACGGGAAAAAAGTTTTCTATTGCTTTTATAAAATAACTTTCCCGAGAAAAAAACGCAGAACTCTTTGTATGGCACTGATTAAAAGAGAAATTCTTACCAGTCGCAAAATCTTGTCCACGAAGTCTTGCACGCGTAACCAGTTCTTGTTTTGCAAAAAGATGCTTTGCAAAATACGGATTTTTCTCGCTTAAAATGTCAGCTTAAGAGAAGAAAAATTGACAAACCTTCTTTGTAACGATTTTCCAAGTTTCAGCCGAGGAAGGAATGGATAAATAAAGCAAACTTGTCGAGTTTTGAACACGAAAACTTTTTCAAATTCGTGCTCGCGTGATTAGCGCGCGAAAAGCCAAACAACTTGACGCCACAACCATGTTTACATACTCTCATGGAAACACTCCTCTCGGCCAATCAGAGCGCGCTTACCATCTTAGTTATTTTATAAATCATTATGGTTTTCGTGGAATAATTAATAACTGGTTTGAATCCTTTTTGTGCAACAGATCACAAACACTAGAAATAAACAAACAGTTATCTGATGCAGCTCTAATATCTTATGGGGTTCCACAGTGGTCTGTACTAGGTCCGTTGCTTTTCCTCTTATATATTAACGATATTCATACTTGCTCTGATACTTTTAATTTCTACCTCTTTGCTGATGATAGTAACATACTGCATGCCAACAAGAACCTAAGGTCACTTGAGGCAACAGTAAATTCTGAGCTTAAAAAGTTGTATCTTTGGCTGGCCTCAAATAAATTAACCCTTAATACAAAAAAAACAATTTTGTTATTTTTCATCCTTACCAGAAGTCTGTTGACTACCTTCCCAAACTTAAGATCTTCGATACTGATACCAATCAATACGTTAGTTTAGAAATGAAAAATTATGTTAAATATTTTGGGATTCTGATTGACAAAAACCTTTCGTGGAAAATGCACATTGACAATGTAGCTACTAAATTAAGTAAAACGGTTGGTTTAATCGCTAAATTGAGGCACTTTGTTCCTCAACATACCTTGCTAAAATTTTACCGTTCGTCTATCTTGCCTTATTTATCTTACGGTTTGATAGTTTGGGGGCAGGCGTCAAAAACACATTTAACAAAAATCTTATTGCTTCAGAAAAAAGTTATCCGTTTCATATTTTTTGCTAACAGGAAAGTTCATGCCATTCCTCTTTTTATTGATGCAAATATCCTGCCAATTAGCTTTCTCTGTTTCTCCGTATCTTACCTAATGCATGATATTCATACTAATTCTGCATCCTCAAAAATCATTCTCAGACATCATCTATTCATGAATATAACACAAGATCATTCTCTAAAAATAATAATTATGTACACCAAAAAATTTAATCTTGAAAAACTAAGACAAGCCGTCCCAATTTTTGGCGCTAAAGTATGGAATGAGATACCAGGTAGAATGAGAGATATGTCAAAAAAAGTGTTCAAACGAAAATTAATCAGTGTGCTCTTCGAAATATTAAAAGACAAAGACGATTACCTTGATGCAACCGTGATAATACGAGAAATAAAATCGCGAAATCCTAAACCTTAGCCTCTTTCACAGCTTGCATTAAACAGATTTCTCTTTCTTGCTTCATTACACATATTTCTTTTTTTCTTTTCTTTGCCTTTTACTCATTATAATATAATATCTGATTTGTAATAGAATTAATTTGGCATACCTCGACTAGCGTTTTCTTGCTAACTACGTGCCAGAAAATTGTACTTGTAATATTATGATAATAAATGTCTTGTCTTGTCTTGTCTTGACAAGTAATGACAAAATATTATTCTTATGGAGTGTCACTCAGCAAAGGACAATTGGAATAGCTTTCGCGAGCTTATAATAATAATTCAGCAATAACAATCAGACTCACCAGAAAAAAATTATCCGGTCCACACGAATTAATGCTCACAAAAACTCAGATCAATAAATTGAGAAAAGCAATGAGCCAGGGTACAGGGTCGGATATCAAAATTTTAAAAAACACAAATCAGAAAAGCTATTAAACACAATGCTAGTTTGTGGGGATCATTGATCAGTTTAGGAAGCAGGTTGTTACCCAAGGCCATGCCATTAGCCAAAAAAGCTATTACACCACTTGCAACAGGTGCGTTATCAGGTTTAGCCAGTCTAGGTGTGGATAAAATATTCGGGAAAGGTCAACGAGGAGGTTTTCTTATTCCGCAGGATAAAATAGCGCAATTGATTGCGTACAAACATTTACTATCCGCAGGTCAGAAAAAGGATATCCTCAAAGCTCTCCAATCAGGTAGTGGATTGGTTATCAAACCGACAAAAACACAGCAGGGCGGGTTTTTAGGAACTCTGCTAGCAAGTACAGGAGTCCCCCTGTTACTAAACGCCTTGACGGGAAAGGGTCTCCAAGCTGACAGTACCGGTTCCGCTAATACAACAGCTTTTTACGTTCCCGATACAAAAATGGCCATGGAATGATTAATCCGTATCCTTACATATCACCACCCTTTTTTGGAACATAGAACAACAGGGATTGCTGCTCGGCAAGAACAGTCCATTCAATTCAATCCCAATTCTAGGAACAATTCTATAAAATTCATTAACAAACCGTTATCAAATATTGATTTTACAATGGGTCAAACAATTGGGAATAAAATACTTCAGGGGTATTTACAGCCGCGACAATTTATCACAAAAAATACACAGATTGGAAACAGGAATAATTAACCTTGACGATTCGACAGGGGGACGGAGTCATTGGACTTGTTATAGAAATGTGGATAAGCAATATTGTGAATATTTTGACCCGTTCGGATTGATCATGCCTAATGAGATTAAAAATTATCTGAAAACAAGTGATAAAAAAATTGTGTTTTCTTCAGATGAAATACAAGAGAGAGACAGTGTTTTGTGCGGTTATTGGTGCTTGTATTATCTTCTGGAGAGACAGAAAGGGAAGCCATTATTAGATGTTATACACAACCCCAAATTCAGTTTCACAGATTAAAATGATAAATCACCAATCTCTGATAAACTATTTCGAATTAATGTAATCCTATTATATAGAATGTCAGAAAAGTTCTGTGTATGTTGCCAAGAAGTTACTCCGCATTATGTACATGAATATGCACGTTTTGAGTGCTGCAACTGTGAGCCCTCGAGTGAGAGCGATTATGATTCAGATAGCAGTCACGATACTTATGTTCTAGACAGTATTGATAGTGATTAGACAATAATTATATAACACTATTGTATATAAATGGTAAAATCTTATTGTGTTAAACAAAAGAAACAAACAGAATGTGTACAACCTTCTGGTTATAAAACTGCGAAAAATGGGAGACTAATGTTTTGGTGCACTTGCGCTGAATGCGTAATTAAAAAGTTCAGATTTGTAAAGAAGGGAAACTAATCGGGCCCTCTCAAGCAGGGGGCGATTTATTTGACACCGCTGTAGGAACCGCTACTGATCTATTTGTCCATCACGGGCTTCCTTGGATGGGTAAAAAAGCAGTTGAGATGGGAAGATATTACGGGTCAGAAGCTCTAAGAAACCCTAAATTACAGAAAAAAGCCATCCATTACGCTTTGGACAAATTGAGTCCGATGATTCAGAATGTTGAATCTCAAGTTCTTGACCAATTATCAACCAAAATACGCCCAAACAGAAAAGATCTTGAGGGAGGTGCTTTAGACATCCACAAGGCCATTGGTAAATTACCAAAACCCCCAGGCGGATTCACTTTACCAGGCCATAAATACACGGGCCCTTATAATGATTTAGAAAATCAAGTAAAATAAAATCCAGAAACTGGTGAAATATTAGAAATTTATGATCAACCAACTGGGGCAACAGATGCGGTTAGCATGCAACATGATGTCGATTATAGTGTTTGCGGTGATAACCGAAAGAGCAAAAATAAAGCTGACCGTTAGACGCCATTCCCTATAATGAAAGACAATGGGGCCACTGGTTAGCTAGAAATCTAATAAACACAAAACAGAAACTCGGATTCGGTTTAAACTAGAAAAGCCGTCGGGTATCAGTTGGCAACAACAATTAGCGGACAAATTACACAAACCCATAAAGCGCAACTTTACTCGGCGGTACGTTATTACAACCGAAACAACCGGTATTGACAAAATTTGGTGCTCAAATCTGGTTGAAATGCAACAGTTCAGCAAATGGAACAGGGGTTACAGATACCTTCTAATGCTGTTAGATCTGTTCTCCAAATATGGCTGGATTGTCCCATTGAAGGATAAAAAAGGGGAAACTGTCACGGAAGCATTCAAAACCATCTTCAAGGAGGGCCGTAAACCACAATATCTTTGGACTGATAAAGGGAAAGAATATTAAAACAAAAATATGAGAGAACTGTTGGAAAGGAATGATATAACAATATATTCAACCGAAAATGAGGAAAAATCTAGTGTTTGTGAAAGATGGAACCGTACAATTAAAACCAAAATGTTGAAGCAGTTTACTGTCCAGGGTAATACCCAATATCTTGACATACTACCAAAAATACTGGAGCAGTATAATAACACCAAACACAAATCCATTAAAATGACTCCTGTAGAAGCTAGTAAAAAAGAAGAATGAAAATACCGTGTATTTCAATCTATATGGTGATATGGAGCAATTATCATCTAAACCCAAATTCAAGGTTGGTGATAAAGTTAGGATAAGCAAGTACAAGAGAAAGGTGTTTGATAAAGGGTACACACCTAACTGGACTGAAGAGATATTCCTGATCGATAAAATCCAATCCACAAACCCAACTACCTATAGATTAAAGGATCTCAATAATGAGGAAATACAAGGCAGCTTTTATGAACCAGAATTACTACCGGCAAAACAAGATATATTTCGCATTGAAAAAGTCATTTGGAGGGATTATAAGAAGAAACAAGCTCTGGTGAAATGGTTGAGTCATAGTGATGACTTTAATTCCTGGATTCCATTGAGCAGCTTGCAAGAATTATCTAATTAATAGTATATGGACGATCATATAAGAAAGCTTGATACTAAAATCCGCAGTAAGGAAACCAAGCTCAATGCACTTTACACTAAAATCCAAAAATTGGAAGAAGAGCTTGCGTCATTACATCACAAGAAATTAATCTCCAGAAAACTGGAAACAGCTGAGATGTCATTAACGAGCGTCCTAAATGCGACCTTTTAAACGGAGGAAGAAGAGGAGAATGAGTAAACTACCAGCTTACCCAAAATGGGGAAGGTGGGTCCAAAGTGTGGGCGTCCCATTTTGTGACAGCAACAAATAAAATAAGACAGCTTTGTTGGGGTCGTGAAACGCGACCTCAGCTCCAAGGTGCTGAAACGGCACCTCAGGGCCAACCGTATTTCTTAATCTATCATATTTAACCGCCGCCCGGTTAGCTCAGTTGGGAGAGCGCCGGTCTGCTGAGCGGGAGGTCGCGAGTTCGAATCCTGGCCGGACCAACACTCAGGGTCTTAAAAATAACTGAGGAGAAAGTGCTGTCTTTGTAATGACATCTGCAAATGATTAGACTTTCAAGTCTTCTCGGATAAGGACGATAAACCGGAGGTCCCGTCTCACAAACCTTGTTCACATATAACTCTGTGGGACGTTAAAGAACCCACACACTATTCGAAAAGAGTAGAGGACGTAGTTCCCGGTGTTGTGGTCTATCTTCATCACTTACATCATCAGTCATCATGGGTTGGGAGGGTTCAGTGGGCTCATAAATGGACTGATAGCGGCTGCCATCGGCGCCCCTAGTATGCTGATGTCCGAGCCCACTGCAAAAAAGCTATGTAAAGAGGACATGTATGTTTGTCCTCTCAATCGCGACATTTACATTTACATTTACATTTACATTTGGTCTGTGTGATAGAAAATTATGTAACCTATTATTATAATGGTATTTATGTTAGAAAAGAAGTATGCTAACGTTGATTTAGAAATTGAGCTGACATCATTTATTAATAGTAAGCAAAATGTTTGGTTCCGAGGAAAGATATTGCTGAGATCCTTGGATATACTTAACCACGAAATGCTATTGAGCGGCATGTGTCTAAGAACCATAAAATGATCCAATTGTGTTAGGGCCCTCAAACGGGGTGTCAACAAAATGACACTAGAGGAAAATATTACACATTCATCAACGAGGCCGGCTTTTACAAACTTGTATTTAGTTCAAAATTAGAAGCTGCTAAAACATTCCGCGATTGGGTATTTTCCAAAGTCCTCCCATCTATCCGTAAATATGGCCAATACAAACTATTTGATACTCCCTGGAATAAGATGATTATGATTGGCAATGAGACTGACCTCCATTATAAAGTAGTGGAACTCATAAGAAGATATTATCCAGATTCCATATTAGTAGCCGGTCTGGGTGAAAATCAGGATGCTGAGGATAAGAGACTAGATTCGTATAAGAAAGGTTACACCCGCGGTCAGCCTGACCTGATGGTTCTCAATGATCACAAAGATTATAAGGGCCTGGGTATAGAATCGAAGAGTCCCACAGGTAATTACTAAATATCAGAAGCCCAAAAAGAGATGAAGAAAAAGTACATCAATAATGGTCATGCATTTATACTCAGTAATGATTACGATAGAATCTGCAAAAATATTCACGAATACATGATAGGTATCAGAGTACCGTGTAAATATTGTATCAAACAATTCCTTAATAAGGATACACTAAAAACCCATTACAGTGTCATTCACAGATTGTCTAACTAATTATTATATGGATACAGATCAAATTATAAGAGAATATTTAGAAAACCAAGAGCGCCAAAAAAACAAATGCAAATAATGCAATTGCGTAATAATCGCAAAACATTCACTCTCAAGGAGCTCAAAAAGGAAATAATTAAGATGAAAGCTGATAAGTTTGCTGTTACTAAAATGAAGAGAGATAAAATTATAGAATTAATTCTCGCTTACCATGATTTGTTCCCCCATTTATTAACTAAACAGGGAAGTAAACGGAGCTCCGTATCAAGGAAATGCGCTAATATTCAATTAATTAACCAGGTATTGAACAATCCAATACATAAACCCACCATCATTGAAACAGCTATCCTCCCTCGCTTCACCTAAAAAATCAACCACTCCACAGTTGACCAATCAAACTATTCCACCACCAAGTATTAAGCTTAATCCCGAAACTATTTACCCAGCTGAATTACGAGATATCCCACTTGAACTACTGAAACAATTATTTGCTAACTAACTACCTAAACCGGTTCAAATTGGTATATCACCTAAATCAGTAATTACTTATATATATTGCGTATCAAACCATACAAATCAAACTGCGCTTGTATTATTCTCGATCTTATATGTATCATTCCATACCTTATATTTCGCCTTTTTGTCAGTTTATAGCGCGGTAACTGAAGATTTTCAAATATTACATAACATTTTGATTGAACTTCCAATCTATTTTGTAAATGACCAAGCTTTTGGTGAAGTGCTTGTTCATACAGATCAATCTTTTCTATAATCTCTTCTGTTGACTTTTGTTTTTTATCCAATAATGTAATTAATTAAAATTGTATCTCCTTACATTCCTCCAGTGCTTCCACATCTGAATCATCATATTGTCTTTCATAAATCTCCTTTCCATAATCTCCTGGTTTATAGCCATTCTCATCAAACTCATCATCATCTTCCTCTTCATAAACTAATTCAGATAACTCAATATCTTTTACCACTGCCATTTCATATTCGACCACTTTCTGTTCTTCAACTTCGATTTTCTTAACTTTATCATATTCGACTGCTTGATCGATTTCATTTGGTGTTTCAAGTTGTGGTGATCGTATTATGAACTCGGCGTCGTCAATAATAACTTTTGCCACATTTGGCGAAGATAGCTTAACAGTGATTTCGGCACCATTATACTGAATTACAAATTTAGTCATATAATATACAATAATCACATCCGCTTTAAGTAGCGATCAATTCGCCCAATTAAATTAGCGAAAATGACCGCTCCAAACCGGTTACCAAAATGCTGACATCAGCAAAACACCAATAATAGCACAAAAATGAAACCGCTCTCAGGGTGGGTGTAATTTTTGGCAACCACAGCCAACCTACTAACTTAAAGTATTTCGAACAACTTTTTTCGTTTCAAGCAACTTTTTGCATAATTTTTGAGCAATTTCTCTCACTAGGTTTCTTCCAATTCTGAGATATCTGAGCAGCTTTTAGTGCTTAAATTGGCCTTGCTTCCATATTGCACACTGTTTTAGTAGACAATTTGTGAATTTCCTATGAAAAAGGAGCCAGATCCTCACCCCTTGGGGTCAGATGATGGGCCCAAGGTGCAGCCAGGCTGCTAGGTCAGAGGTTTTTCAAAATGGCGGACGTCGATTCACACTTGACTGACACGAGTGTCTGAGGTGAAGAAGGTCATTCAACAATATTAATGGCTCATACTAGAATTTTTATAAGATTAATATTAATATTGATGTGTAGTGTTTACTCGTACATTTTTTGGTATTAATTGTGGTTTACGGGCTCCTGATGGCGGACGGAGTTACCTAGCAACGCTAATTGAGCTGAGAAATTGCACAAAATTACGTTTTTATACTCTACCAGGAGCCATAATGATATATATCTAAATCGGGGTAGTAGACCGTAACTGGATGCCTTTTCCAGGGATGGGGTTGACTTCATCGAAATATATATCATAGCCATTAAATATGTTTAGCCTAGTTTTAGCACATTTGGTTCCATCTCGTGTGATTCGCGCGCGAATTTTTTGCAACACCGCCGTGGAAAGGATTAACAAACGAAATGGCCTTGGAAATTACCTCCGTAGGAGATGAGTAAATTACATTTCTGTCATCACTGCTTCCTCTAAATGTGAGGAATGCTTATGATAAACACCGTAGTGAGAGTGTTTTTGACAAATCCAGTGACGAAGAGATGTAGGAGATGTCAATTCTTTCACGGCTACACCAGTAAACAAAAAGGAGCCTAGTGGCAGTAAACTTCCGGGTGTACGACCTCTATCAATGATCAATATGATGTTATAGGTATCAACTCGAGTTAACACACAGACCCCTTTTACAAATTTTTGAACGGCCAAAAACTTGCACGGATCGTCCTTTTCTTTACATGCAACCCGCGGAACTGTGAAGTTTTTGACCTGCAAACAGTACTGTAATCTGTAAGAGAATTTGCACGTTTCCTCTAATCGGGTTGCACAAGTAAAAAATTCGTCCGGACCCGTGGCGTTTATCTTGTGTGGATCGTGCAGAGAGCATTCTGAAAAGGAAATGGGCAGGAAAAACAATGAGGGGAATGGGTACCGAGTGAGAGTCGTTAATTCTCCTATAATGGTTCCTTACGGATCCTTCCGGTACAACAGATTCTGGTAAACCCTATGAATGGTTTATTTTGACAGCTCTTGTCAACATCCGAAGGTCTATTACCTTATGGAAATGCGAAGTGACAGCGGTGAGATCATCAGTTAGAAGGCTTACTTTCAAAAAAATTCTTCGTCCGCTGGCTCTCTTGGCCGCTTTGCGGCCTAAAATGCCTGCTCCGCACACTGATTCAACTGTTTATTTTAATAAACCAAATTTTACAGCAAGCAATATCCACTGCCCGCAGTTAGCCCGCACGCTTCGAAACTCGCGAGGTTGATATATAGCAAGTCTAGCTAGCTCGCATGAGAGCGAAGTTAAGTGAGTCATAAAGAAACAAAATAGATCTTTAACGTTATCTACATTCACGAGACACCTCGAAATGAGGAACGAATGAAGCAATGCCAGTTAATCACCAATTAACCTGTGATCAAGTGTTCTCCTTGTTTTTTCGTTTGAAAGAAAAACAAGCTAAATTCAACTAAAAGAAGTAATTGAAGAGGAAATAAGACTAGAGTAGGTCGCTGATAAGCTGGTTTGTTTGTTTTTTTATCTTATTGGTAATTACAGGAGCCCATAGGCTCCTGGTAATAGTTCGTAAAGCCCAGGTTCGATAAAGAAAAATTCTAAAATAAACCAGAGGCTTTCTGGTTACATGTCTATATTAGGTTTGGTTTTCTATGTGCTCAAGTCTATTTTGGGAATTGCGAGACAATGGAGTCGTGGAAAATTTGCAATTTTCGTCCGTATGTTCGATATCGGACGTAGCTACTAGTGTCAGTCTCTCCTGAGTGCTGAATTTTCAAGAAAACGTCGCTTTGTTATTTTCTAGTTTCATCCTGTCGTTCAGCAGCTTTATGCCCTTTCAAAATGTAACCTAGGCAGTATTTCGAGCTTTTTGATATTTTCTCCAGTTGCTGAACATACTTTACAGCGAAATATGAAAGAAAATTCACGAAGAGGACTTAAAACAAACACGAAGGGATCGGCCTGTTTGCAAGAAAAAGCTTGGAAACTATAACAAATGTGAGGTTTCTAATTTCTTCCTGTTTCAATGGCCCAAAATGATTATTAGTGTTTTGGTTACATGGACGATAGTTGACTGCAACTTGGCTGTCAGAGTTGTTCTGTCGTTTTAGTTGTGCGCTGTAGATCAATTCAAAAATGCCTGATTTTTTTGGTCGTTTGCAGACAGTTTGCAGACACAGTTTGCAACAAATCTTATGGGTTTAGAAAGTAGTTCTGTGATGTGTTGTATCGCATACAAAAAATAAACTTCGCTCGTTAAATTTTGAGGGTTCTGTGAGTTTCAGAAAATGGTGAAAATTTGGGCTGTGTATAAAAGTGGGACGGGCACAAGGGGACAGGGACATCGGGACGCGTGCGTGGGGACTTGGGACGTGGTGACGCGAGACGAGGGACTTGAGGACGGGATGTGAATGATTATTGCAAAAGTCGCAGGTAAATGCGATATCTCTTTCTGCGTGAAAATGTGTTATTTATGGTCAACATTAGATTCCATCTTCCAAAAACACACTGGACACCTTATGATGTTTACACAAAACATTTCTTTATAATAGGAGTAAGCGCACTCAAACTATCGTGATTGGGGTTAGGGTTGATTTCCACTGTCGCGTAATTTTTCCATGCGTACGTGCGTAAAATTTACGTTCGCAAATAAAATAGAGGCAATGTATGAAAGGTCGCACGTAAGCGTAAAAGTAGAATCTCGCTCAACTTCACGTCTAATCTCAACAATTTATATCTCGCCTCTATTTTATTTACGTGATTAAAATTTACTTGCGTTAACGTGCATAGCCAAAAACGCGTCAGTGGAAATCAACCTTTAAGTACTGTTAGCAAGCATTTACTGTTAAATTTGCCACTAAAAATATGTAGAACAAAATAAATATTGCTACAATAGTTGAAGCCCTCGTGGTTAAGTGGTACATGCGATGGATTTCGGAGCTAGCACTT